CGCACCAAACGGAGGTCTCAAAAACAAACAACACAGTATATATATATAATTGTTGCTGTCCTTCCTTCCTCATGAATGGTGGTACAAAATGTCTTCATTGAACAGTTGGGTGCTGACTGAATGTTTGTTTACTTTACAAGGGTGGATTATGTGGATTGATATTGCTTTGCAGTTTTGCTGCTTTTCCCCCAGAACATAAAGGACACATCATCTTGACAATGGCACGGAACGGGAACAAACAACGTGAATTGATATCATGCACTTGCTCCGGGAACCGGGGAAGATATCTTCCCCGCAAAAGAATTCAGTCTGTACACATCAACCTATACCCAGACACTCCATGGGACTGCCGTATATGCCTACATTGGGGTGGTTTTGGGGGTCAATGGGGCGGCATATACGGCAGTCCCATGGAGTGCTTCCGTCGTCTCCGTCGACACGAGGAGACGACAGATCGTCACCCGCACGGACTCCCGCAAGCCGGTCGCTCGCCGGCCGAGCGCCTTTTCTCCTTGGTGTTCTGCCGGCCGAGCTCACCGGCTCGCCGGCCCGTGGGACGCGAGTCTGCATTGTTCGTCCTTTTTGTTCTGCCAAGATGCACCATCATCAACAGCTTGATGTAGGGCCAAATCACGCTGAAGATCAACATCGCGGCGAACACAAAGACAGACCTGGCCGGCGTTGGAACACAGGCACATCGAACGAAGGGAGAGGTAGGTAAGGAGGTCAAGAAGCTCTGAATCACGGTGCTTTCCTTGTGCCAAAGGTCTGGGGGAGCACTATTTCACACCAAGCACAATGGGGTACTCCACACGAATGCAACTCCCCGACACATGGAGGGTCATCTGCTGTCGCTCAGAACGCCCGCCACGCCCAAGGGCACAGAACCTGCGCCGCCCAAGGTCACTGTGCTGCCATCTGAGTCTCCACACCCCACTTCGAGAGTCTGAGCCTCACCAAGTTGGCGGAGTGCGGATTACGGACCTAACGGACCTTCCAAAACTCAAGGGTATAGGCGGTATAGGTCAATAGAAAGCAACATGATGAAACAAAAAAACTTGGTGAGGTTCACTCTATACATCACTCCTTTCCCTCCTAACCATCCCTAACCCCCCCCCAAAAAAAAACATCAACATGTATTATTTCACATCCTTACCGATACCTGGACACCAGCTCCGTTCTCCCTTGCTCCGGTGCACCCGAGCACCGGACTAAGGAGTTCTCCATGGACCTCGTGGACAGGTCGGTGCACGGTGCACGGTGCACCCGCGAAAAGCGAAGGCAGTGGATCCTCCAAACCGCTGAGAAGGAGAAAAAGAGGAAACCTCCCGAGCCCCTAGTAGCGTCCGATCGCTCCTAGTAGTCAGGCCCTTTGCTACTAGTAGCTTCTCCCTACTAGTCGTTCGTCCCTTGATGTCTCTTCTGTTCATGTTCCGTGAGAAAAAGAACGGGCCGACCCTGGAAGGTCAAAAGGTCAGAACATGGAGTGAGAGATAGTGAGAGTCCAAAGCCACTGGCACTACGTACCCCGCACGATGGCTTCACTTAGGGCCCAGATCAATGGAGGGTCATGACAGTCCGGAAGAGTCTTCAAGTAGCCAATGCCTTCCGCTGGAATTTGTGTGCATGCTGCTGGCAGGTTATGGCGAGCCTTTGCCATCATCTGAGAAAAACCGAGTCAACAAATGACCGGCCAATCTGAGTCAAATTCCATCCCAACGGAACGATCGGTTCTTGGGGTGTCCCCCCAAGAATTACAAGGCCAGGGTAGGTCAAAAGTATCCTGCAGGGTATCCTGCCTGCAGGGTAGGTCTCCAGTAGGCACATCATTAATGATCTGAAGAAACAAACTGCAAGCATCAGCAAATGTCACAAGCAGTCGAAACAAACTGCATGATGGGACCCCACAACCATGTGGTTAGGAAGAAACCACAACAGGGGATGGTGGAGGGCCCAGCCCTCTACCTGTGGGGCCGACCCAACGCAGTGCTTTTGTCCAATCCTCACATGTATGGCGACAGGCCCAACGGGTGAATAGAAGAAAAAAAGGTATGTAATATCGCTGACGATCACCTTAAGGAGTCCTTAAGTGTGGCTTCTTCAACGTATTCAGATGCTTCAAACGCCGGAGAGCCCAAAGGGTTTTGGTACCCAGAAACGACGGTCTGGTCTGGCTGAAAACATTGCGTCTGCCAAGATCCATGGGGTTTGCCGTCGAACGAAATGAGATAACCAAACCAACACAAACAACCAACACCACTCATGTAAACCAAAAAAAGATCAAAAAAAAAGAACATTCATATTCAGATTCTGGACTCTTTGATCGTTTTCCCAGGGTGCAGTTCCATGCAGTTCCGCTCACCCATCCCGTTCTCCAACTCCTTCGGCTCCCAGGCAAGGAGGCCATGTGCTTCGTGGCCGAGGAACTTCTCGACGCTTCGAAGCTCCCTGGAGTGAGCGAGTGAGCGAGTGAGCAACTGAAGCAGGACCGTGAGAAGGAAAGGAAAGCCCCTATGGTTCCTCAAGGAGAACAACTGATAGTTTCCCTTAACCACTGAAAAAAGGCGCAACTGAGGGCTTATGGTTCCTGACACATCCTTTACGGGCATCACTGGAATTTCTCATGGTTCCAGTGGTTCCTCATCCACCTTTTTGTTGAACATAATGGTTAGGTGACCCGGGCCAACGTTTATGCTGCTTCCTTTTGGGCGAATGGACAGAGCCTTGAGAGACCAAGGAGCCAGGTTCTCTATCTGACACAACAACACGTGTGGCATCATCTTGTAGAGCCCACATGTCCGCAGTATTTCTCCGCTCCAAAAGGTTGGATCCACACATGCTTCTGCCTGAAAAGAGCACTCCAGGCGTCACGGACGCGTAGACAAATAAGAAGGTGGTCCCAGCGATACCTCAACAGGTCCAGCGATGCGACGACGACGAGTCCAGGAGACCTCCGTCCAATGGACGGATCCAAGGCTTGATGAAGGCATCCAACGCTGTGGGTTTGCACGACGAAAGGCTGTTTTCTTTGGGGTTCTGAGACATGCATGACACAGAATCCATACATGTCTAGAGTCTAAAGGCATGAAGAAACATGCTGAAGAAACATCATGAACATGTTCATGACTGTCCTTATGGGGACAGGTTAGAATGTGTTAGCACAACTGTCTGCCATGAACTCATGAAGAGTCTCATGAAGCACAAATCCTTTTTGATCAACAAGCGGCTGCAACCTTTCTTCATGTTCAAACCTCCACGGAAGGGAATACCTTGGATCCTACATGGGCTAATGAGATACTCCCTATATTACAACTTATAACCCCCCAGGACATCGCACACCATCCAATTTGGATCTCAAAAAGGGGAATCCGTCGACTTGACCACCTCGAGCTGTACAGTGCTGCTCCTCTTTGGTGGATCATCGTCGACCGTGGATCTGTGGCCCGCGCCGGAGAGCATGCCCCAGCGCAGGCACCAAGGTACCTTGGAACTGGCTGTGGTCAATGAGGAAAAAACACCTGATCCGGAAGAAGAACAATATGCCCAAATACCTCAGTTTTGGTGTCTCCTTGTTCAAACACCAACACCTAGACACACTGAAACTCAGCATGTCAGCCTGGGATTCGTCAGCAAACCTGGTCTCTCCGCGTCGCACACCTGGTGCCCCGACGCCAGGCTGCCAACCTAAGCCTGAGCACATCGCTCCGTTCGACGTCCGTGCTGAACTGCGACGCGCGACGCAGGTGGTGTCTCGGTGGCAGTCGGTCTCGGTGTTTCTTTTTGTCCATCTAAGCCCTAATGAACAATATAGGTAAACAATCCCTCCAAGAAGAGATCAGTGAAAGATTAAGTGACGAATGGGCCGGAAAATATAGGGTAAACATGGATGAACCTTTACTTCAATTGGCCAAGCGTTGTCATTAAAGGTTTGAAGATTCTTTAAATTCAATATGTCCATAATTGTCCATAGTTTGGAGGCTGAGAATTCATTGAAAACTGCAAACGCACCCATCTGATGTTCACCCAAAGCCAGCCCCAAAGCGATCCGCGGTTCGGCCCCACCCGGAGTCCGTCCCCGCGCCTCGGCTCGCGGGTGCAGATTCGGCACCTTCGAGGAGCTAGCGGTTTCGAAGAGCGCTCGCAGGAGGAGCGCACGGAAGAATCCGTTGAAGATCCACGTCGTGATTTGATTTGAATACCTACTAGGTAGATCTAGGTAGGTAGGGCGTACTCCATCCTACTCCGCTGATCTCACACAACGACAATCAGCACTCCCTCTTCTTTGCTGGCTAAAGTCATAGCCCCTTCCGCCCTTCAAGACAAGTGGAAGGTGCTGGAAACAGCCAGTGAAAATAATCTTGCGTGCTGCAAAGCACGCTGCGCGCGCGGGAGATGACTTGACAGAGTACAAGGGCTGGATTCACTTCCGGCAACGTCATTCGACAAGATTTTGAACATGGCTTTTGATAACCCAGTACCAACATGTGCCAAACGTGTGCACAAGGCTACCAAAGATTCTTCCGGCAGCACATTGTGCCTGTTTGGAGAAGGTAGGCCCGGTTTTGGATGGTGCATAAAATCTGGCTGAGAAGGAATGGGGACAGAAAACATATTGTTGCCAATCTTCAAAGTAAAGTAATATCCTGGCAACGAAAACACTTGAACAAACAAACTGGCCCCATGCAAAACATTTGGACTGCTTGGCTTCGGGCTAAATTAAAGCCTGGGCAAATCCTTGCTGTCATTTGTTGTCAAAGTACACTTCACCCCTCTAAATGTGTTACTGACCTGCACAAATTCTCGAATGGATGGAAACATATCTTTGATCAAGGAACACTCCAGCAAAGGCCTACATGAAAGTTGATTGGTCTGTCAAGGAAAATGGTCTTCTAAGGGTCTCTATTGGGTTCCATGTCAATTCAATTGTGAGGTATATATATATTGAAATTGTATAATAGGGTATCTCCATGTATCTCCGATCCCCATTCTAAAAGCTCCATAGACATCATGTGCCATCTCCCGCGGATGCACAACTACTCCACAGTCGCATCAATCACTGCGTACAGCAGTAACATCTCTATGAAGATCTGCTCGCAGGAGTTCACTAGCACCAACAAAACGGGACCTCTCAACATCCGTTGTCTTACCTCCTCACTTCCCAACATCGCCTCGCACAACCAAAGCTCTGGCTTGGAGAGGAACATGGACCCCATATTTTGACCCCCACCAAACGGTACTGATGTTCATTGACCCTAGGGATGAGTAAGGCACAAAGAACAGAGAACTGCTCGCATCCATGAAGGTCAGACCCGGTCCACAAGAGTCACCGGTCGTCCCGAAGTCTCTTTGCCTCTGAGGATGAGTCTGGTTTCTTGACACCGGCGGTCTGAGGGTCCCGAGCGGGTCAAACATCCCGAATCAGAAGGGAGTTAGACGCGAAGCGAGACGCAAAGCGACGCACAGCGATCCCATGCTGATCGTTGATATGTTGACGCAACCTCTGCTGAACAATGATCTTTTCATGTGTTTACTTGGCATGATGCTGGGTGTCCAACATGAATCACAGCTTTAGTTCAGCTGGGCTTGCCAAGCTTGCAGCTGAGCCTTTTTCTCATTTATTGCTAATTCAAAGATTGGATGTGTCCAGTCCAGTAAAGAGATGTGCCGGTCATGTTCCTACAGGTTGGGATAAAAACACTACCATACCGTATCTGCAGCTTTACAATTACAGTTCTCATGAACTAAGAAGACTCTTCCACCGCTTTTGTTATGCTCGCAAATGTGATCGCCTGAGAGGCCTTCCTCGATCAACCGGAATTTCCAGGTCCATCAGCTGGCATCGCTCCGCTTTGCCTCTTCGACTGTCGGGCCACTCAGGTGGCATGCTGCCGACCGTTGGGTGAGCCCTGCAGCGCGGGGCCCAGACTCTGAGTCAGATCCCAAAGACTCCAGGTGGGTGTGTGTTTAATAGGGAGACCCCGGAGACCCCTGGCTGGCTAGACTGGTCATATATTTTCCGGGAGGCCTCTCCCTTTTTTTTTGACCATCCCTTCTAGTCAGGTCCCCTCACATCCTTACTTCATGTGGTGCATGGATGTTGAAGAGAAGTCAGTGCAATATGTGATCGTTCATCAAGTGATCTGCAAGAATCATGTGCCAATCATCTCTCACAAGTCTGTTTTCCTTCAGACTCTAAACATGAAAACACATCAAAGGAGTGTTGGATTCACAGGGGCATCGTGTGAAACCCTAGAAGCTGCGGCAGGCTAAGCCAAGACTATCCAAAACTCAACAAACTAGTTATTTGCAATCTACTCTACACATGGATACACCTTGTAATCTTCAGTTCTGTAGTCACCACTTCAAATGAGAGTTGAGGGAACAGTTTGTCTATCTACCTGATGTCTGTGATATGAGTTTGGTAATAGGGAGAAGCCCAACAGAAGCCCAACCAAATGACTTCGAGTCTCAACTCTCAGAGGAGGATCGGATCATATTGGGTCTCCACTCCACACCGGGTGTAGGGGGGTGTAGTGGGTTTGGTGTGTAGCTTGGGCCTCCCAATCCGTCCACCTCACAGCGGCTCACCCGAGCGCCAGCGAGCTCGCCTCAGTGACCTCGAAACTTCCATTGCTCACTCCGGATCTACCACCTCGGTTCCGCGGATGGGTTATGCCATCAAGTTTCTGGAGTTGCCTCAGGTGGTTGGACCAAACAAATCTGTTTTTTGGGGGGAGGATCTTCATGGATCCTCCCTTGTGTTTTTTTGTTCACACCAGTTGGATCCATTTGGCGAGTGCTTCAGTTACTGCTTCACCCCCCAAAGCCTCCTCCGCACCACGCCGAGGCTCTGAGCTGCGAGCTCTTGCGGAACTTGCGGCTCAGGGCCGTGCGCCCGGGGGGCGCCACCGAGCCTAAGGAGATCCAGGTGTCCACGTCGTGTTGTTCCAACATGCCGCTCTTCGTCACGTCCTCGGAGGACAACGGGCGCCCCGTTCAGGGCGGAGGGGCGAGATCCCGGAGGAGGGAAGAGAAGGGGAAGCATTCGGAGAACATGTTATTAGTAGCTTCTTGTTACTAGTAGGAATGGCCTCCACCTAATAGCGATGGCCTCCACCTGGTAGCTTCTTGTTCCAAGTAGTAATGAAGAGAAGGGAAGCATTCGGCTCAGTTGCCACACAGAACGACTTCCCCTCTCGCTGCGACTTCCGGCCGCTCTGGAGAAGGACATGGGGACCAACCTGGTAGTCCACCAGTGATTGACCAAGTCCGTGGAGCATTTGAATCATTTGACTGGTTTTGGACGTCTGTGAGATACATTTGGCATGGTTTTGGCCGTCTCCTCTCACTCAGGTGACCGAACTTTGAAAGTGGACATGACGTGAATCTCGATTGGAAGACATGGTAGTAACACCAAAGAACAAGGAACACCATTCATTTCCCGCTTCCCACACATACAAAGGGGGTTGTCCATTGAGGATGGGCCGTGAACCCCCACTCTTGCCTTCAACAGGACCGTTCCGTGGTTCCTCTCTTGGAGGGAAGCAACAAATGTTGCACAAATCTATACTGCAAATACAACACTTCTGAAAGCATCACGCTTTTGATGTTTTCTACAGTGACATGTATGTAATTGTAGTTATATATCCTTACATGTAATACATGTTGTCAGTTGCCATTCTTTGTCAGCAAATCCGAAGGGTCGCAAGCAATCAATAACCGTGGCTCGAGTTCTGAGAAGTTGGCCATGATCACACGGATCTCTTCAAGGGTGACTGCTTGATTCTTCCTGAGAAGGCTGGAGTCGCTGGCATTCGTTCCGGACAAACATGACAGTCCTTTGCTTCGGCAAAGTCTTTGACCTGTAACTTGTAGTTGTTTTATGACTGTCGATGTGGGGCAGTTCATAGATGTTGCTTGTTTCTTTGCCATGTTGACATTTGATCATACTTGGTGTCATTTGGTTTCCGTCATATACTATATAGTTTGTTCTGCTTCTGCATGGGACGTACTGACGTAAGAAATGCAATGGGGAGTGGATGAGTGGAGTGACCTCCTTTGGGATCACGATAGCTCCCTAAACCCCTTCAACGCTTCGAGCAGGCACCAGGCCAGCAAGCCACCAGCGATGTTCTCTCTGCCGAGCATCGTGAGCATGAAGCACAAGAACTCAAACGGAGTGATTTGCCTCGGGCACTGAACGTTGATGTCGCAAATACCCATAGGGCCCGATGGATCCACTGCCCACCCTCTGGATAGTGGGTGATTGGAGATACTGGAAACATCGGCATGGAGGGTCCGGTCGCAGCTTCTGAGAAAGTATATGTGGAAAGCCAGGCCTGGATTTGAATCCTTTTCGGAGCGAAGGCCAAAGTATGGGAAACAATCTTGGTTGGTCTCATGCTGTGCATGTATACAGATTGAATCAGATTGACTTTGAATGATTTTGAAGGTACACGAGCGGTCAAGAATACCAAAACACAACTTTGTAATCCCAAACATGTTCACCCGATGGTCCTTCTTTTCTCAGCCACTTTCATCTTGGCTTCCAACCATGTCAACCCCTTCAGTTTCACAGAAACTGCACCAGCTCCGCTGCCTGACTCACGGCCAATTCCAACCCGCTGGCCATTCACTTCCAGCACCAATGCCCCAAGCGACTCACGTCGGCTTCTCTGGGGTTGGGAGTTGTAAGCTCCAGCTCGCCACCTGATGTGGGGACCGCACGGCGCTCGAACTCTGTCTCAGCGACCGCCGATTCGATGAGTGTCGACTTCTGTAGACATGAGATGAAAATGGGGAGTGAAATGAGGTGAGCATGCAGACCATCGGTGGCTTTTGTGGCACTTGTGTCGGACTCTGAAAACCAAACAAGGACCTATCCTGGGAAGGCCATTGGTGTACACGGAGGAGATGCACTTGGAACCTGGTTCAACTACTGCAACGACTGGAGGAAGCATCCATCTTCCTTGCAAATCGCTTCAGGTTTCACGTGTCCACGAAAAAAAACTCCCAAATGTCAATGAATGGATCCACGGGTGAAACCAGTTTTGGTCCAGGCACCTGAATGGATCCGAGACAGTTTCTTGTCTTTTACTCTAAGATTTGTTCAGTTTCCCTATGACACTATGATAGCAAACCAAAACAAATCATGAGTGCGAGCGCTTCTTGATTCAAGGAAGCTCAGCCCAGTCTACTTAACAATATTTTGCCCTTTGGGCTTTTCGACACCAACTCGATCAGTTCTGAATTCTCAGCTCCGCCACATCTGATCGGTGAAGTCGATCAGCCTCAAGCGACCGCCGCGGCGCGTAGCAAGGCGGCGCGAAAGCTGTAGGCTGAAGCTGTGGCAAGCAATGTGTTTGTGTGTTTGCTTGCTTGCTTGGTTGGTTGCTTGCTTGCTTGATTATTGCTTGTTTGCTTGCTTGTTTGCTTGTTTGCTCGTCTGCTTGTTTGATTGCTTGCTTGTTGTTTGCTTACTTGTTTGTTTGCTTGTTTGCTCGTCTGCTTGTTTGCTTGCTTGCTTGATTGGTTGGTTGCTTACTTGATTGCTTGCTTGTTTGCTTGCTAGTTTGTTTGCTTGTTTGCTCGTCTGCTTGTTTGCTTGCTTGGTTGGTTGGTTGCTTGCTTGCTAGTTTGCTTGTTGCTTGCTAGTTTGCTTGCTTGGTTGTTTGCTTGCTTGCTTGTTTGCTTCTTTGTTTGCTTGTTTGCTTGCTTGCTTGTTTGCTTCCTTGTTTGCTCGTGTGCTTCCTTGTTTGCTCGTTTGCTTGATTGCTTGCTTGTTTGGTTGCTTGCTTACTTGTTTGTTGGCTTTGCTTGATTGTTTGTTTGCTCGCTTGGTGGCTTGTTTGTTTGTTTGTTTGCTTGCTTGCTTGGTTGCTTGCTTGAGTTCTTGCTTGTTTGGTTGCTTGCTTACTTGCTTGTTTGGATGCTTGCTTACTTGTTTGTTGGCTTTGTTTGCTTGATTGTTTGCTTGCTCGCTTGCTGGCTTGTTTGTTTGCTTGCTTGTTTGTTTGGTTGTTTGTTTATTTGTGTTTCTATTTTCTGTCTGTGGGATTTTGGTTCTGAGGGATGTTGAAGGGCTTCTGCATCTTTCTGCAAATCCAGGTGACATGTTTCATGCACACATGTTATCAGTGTCCTCTTTCATTGGAAGTCTTGAGGCTGCTCCCAAACCGGTTTCATGCAGTTCCTCTTTATGTGTCTGCTCATCTTTTCATGGGCTGCCGGTGGTCAGATCTCCTACACCCTTCGCCAAGGAACCGGCAGAAATAGAAAGCACACGGAAGTAAACATATAACATGTATAGTATCACCTAGTACGCATCTCACATAGCTAAACTTTACGTATTCCGAGCAGCTCACTTCATGTATTCAATCCTAGAAACTGCGCAATCAAACGAATCAAAGGAACCCATTTGAGCCAAACCGATTGCTTTCAGCCCAGCCAAACCACCAACACATCCTTTCTCCCCACAGACCCGAGGTCTGAAGTCACCGCGGCCGGCGCACCTTCCTCTCTACCGCAAACCTCTGTGCTCTCCCTGCGACCGGGCGACTGATCAAAGGTCTCATTGGTGAGACCTCCACAGACCTCTGGTAGACTTTCCCGCCGTGCTTTGCCGTAGGTGATCTGGACGATGCGACCCAGGATCAAACCTGGGTGCACAAAAAACCTGATCACTTGACATGTCTCGTGGTGACATGGTCACACTGCAAAAAAGAACCACTAGTTGGTGTTTTCAACCCACTGGACAAATATTAGTCAGAGGGTCCAATCATCCCCAAGTAAGGTTTGAAAAAAAAATATCCGAAACCATCACCTAGACCAGAATGAAGGTGATAGACCTGGCTACAGAACCAACTTAGAGGATTCCATGCCGTTGGCTACAAGGCTACATATCCCTTGTGAGTATCAAGCTGTAGAGAGTCTTTTGACTTTCAAAGAAATGTGTGCGTGTGTGTTTTTGCTTAAGAATTTTGCGAGTCTCTCGCGTGAGGGATGCTTCAAATGCGTTTATCCATGTTTATCCCACTAAGCGGACGTTTCTTAGCGTGGAAAACTTCACTGAAATGCAGGTCTCACACTTGTACTGAAACGAAATGCTGGCCAACTTCACTCATACTGAAACCGCCCCCCGATCGACCCTAGAAACAAATAACACAAAGAACCATCATGAACCATCGTATGAAAGCTCAGTCCGTGGGGAAAAAGGCTGATCCTCCGGGTTGTCCAGCTTCTAAGATCCTCGATGCCTTTCAGGATCCTCGATGAATAGATCGATCTCCTCATGTCAACTCCACTCTCCTTGCCGGTCCGACATGGCCATCCTCTCTCTCCGACACTCTCTCTCCACACCGGGCAAGCACCGAGAGGCCGAATAAGGGCACGCCGATCAAGGCCAGGAGTCCAATCGATAGCTTCGACTTCTCGGACTTGGGCGTCACATCCTGACGAACGGCGACGGCGTCTTCCGGGTCTCACCGAACTCGGAGGGTCGTGAAGGTGAATAAGACCATGAATAAGGTCCGGTGTCCAAGCATGAGCCTCTGGCTTGGAGGGTTGAAGACTGAATTTGGTCATCACAGTCCCTAGGCCCTAGGTTGGATTGCATTTCTTCAGGACATGAGAATCAAATAGTTCTGCAATTGACATTGTCCCGGCTGATAAACGTCGATTCATGGCACCAAAACATCAAAATCCAATACGCCTTTGAGCGACAGCGCTGAAATCGGAAAACAACAAGTGTGTCGTTTGTTCGTCTGCCGTCATTTTGAAGAAACATAGAGAAACGCATCTTTTGACGATCAAGCGTCCCCATATCCGATGGTTGCCAGGGTCACCACACTAAAGTAGAGCGCCTGGCGGAGAAGCGACTCCGAACCACGGAGCAGCGACTGAGACCCAAGGCTGACTCCGGAGCCGTTCTCTGGAAAATAAAGGCTATAACCTTTTTCTGGCTGTTATTCTTGAGTGGAGAAACTCATCCCCCCAAAAAGTTGTGCACGTTGTCAACGTACTTCTTGGGCAGGAAGGGCTTTGATGGTGAACTACAAGTGACCAGCTCTTCGTCCAAAGGGAGGTGTGGGAGGCGAGTTTGTACGCAATTCCTTCACCCTGAAACATTCTGAACATCCTTAAACCTCTAGCTCTGCTGCTCTTGTTGCTACAAAAGAGGGGAAGGGATTGGCATGTACAACCATCATGACTTTGGATGCTTTGCCCACACACACACACACACACAAACACATACGAGTACTGCCCAAAAATATAAGTTCAATGTATTCCAGCCCAAATGATGGACGAGGACAACCATGAGTGACAACTGGTGGTCCATTACGAATTATTCACATGTGGGTTACTAGGACACTGACCTGGTTCATATAGAACATGTTGGCGAAGCGGGGCGAAGGATCGGGCGGCTGGGCACGAGCCGTTGAGTCAAAGCCGTTGCTGCTCTTAAGTGAAAGTGTCTGAAGCTTTTTGGGGCTTGGGGAGGACCAGGCTGACTGAATCTGAGCTGAGCCTGATGCAACATATATGAATTATATGTCTATGACTGATCTGTTCTGCAAAAGTCGTGTAACTTGAAACTTGATATAGCACTATCTATGCGGCAAACACTCCATGTGTCGAATATGTCTGTACAATTGGGGATGGTTCAAATGGCTTCAGGGGCCAATGTCGATAATGGAGTCATGTCCCATGGAGTGTCTATATGGGTGTGTATCAAAAAAGGGAGACCACCCATTTCGACCCCCTAGAAGAAGGAACATAAACCCAAAATCCATTGGTTGGGGGTCTCCCTATTGAAAAACACACTCATATGCAACAAACATCTGCAGCCGTGGCGAAACCACCCGCGGCATTCTGCCGCCCTCCGGATGACGGCAACGTCGACCAAGATGTTCCAAGTAGTCCAGCTGAGCCCACGAATTGGCAGAACAGGTGGGGGCCAACCGAAGCACCCCAAAAACACAACAAAACAGGAATTCCTGAATTTTCATCTTCAACTTCAACCACTTCAACCACCTTTAAAACACATGGTGAGAGACTTCGCCATGTAAATCGCACCACTATTCCTGCCTCCACAACAGGTGGCACATTGGCAGAACACGCTGAGCTTTCGCCAGGGGGGTCACCACTCCGCCACTCGCCGAGTCTGTTTTGCCGGCCTCTGTCCAGTCAGTCCAATTGGGTTTCTCCAGTACCAAGGTTTGCGCAGCCAGGCAGCTCACGAAGAGGAGCCTCAGGCTGAGAAGGCTCGCTGAGGTCACCGGAGCAGTCTCAGACTGAAGGCGACCCATGACATCTATATGAATTCATGGATTACAGAATCATACAGATCATGTATCCCTGTGGAAACAAATCTTCCGTCCTTTCAATTCGTTTCCAAGAACCCACCTCTTCGTTGCCGGCTCCGCTGTGCCGAACCGGTCACTTCGAACCGGTCACTGGAGGACCTGTCCAAGCTGCCAAGCTGCAGGGCCAAAGCACCCAGGCATTTCAGCATTTGACACTTGAAGTGTCGCCTGTCCGGTCGGCTTTTGAAGGGTCTTACCCCGGAGCGTCCCAGAAAGAATTGCTGAGAGTCCATCTGCCATCAGCCCTTCAAACCAATACATCCTAGGAAAGATCATGACCCCCCTGCCCCGGATCAATTAAATGTGAATCGTTTGAATCCGGGTACCCCAACTATTCATCCCTACCCTGCTAGAGTGCTGGGTTCAGAAGTTCAAGCCTAATTAATGAGAGGGGTTTGAGTCTGAGTGTTAACAAAAGATTCATCAACTCAGGAGGGCTGAAGGAGGTGTTTGAAAACTAACTCGATAGGGTTGTTCCAAAACTTACATACCCCTGGAACCCTCCGGATCTAGTTTGCGCCTTTTTTTCCCTCTCTCTCTCTCTCTCTTCACCAAACCCCATCCAAGCAGTGCCGGCTGGCTGTCCAGCTGACCCCACCAGATGGGGCGGTGGCTCCACGGTGAGCCAGGCATCCCCCGGTCTTCCAGGCCATCTTCTGGCTGTTTCCAGGTCTTTCTATCTCTTTTGAACTGAAACGAAGCAAACAGGATTGGTTCCTTTTCGGTCTTTGCCAGCACAAGAAACAACGCGCAACAAGTTGAGATGCAATCAACACGAGCACAAAAATCACAAAACTAATCTACAGGTAGTCACGCTCTTTCTATTCTTGGAGTTCTTTTCTCCACACTCTGCTTCCCCCCGCCCCGTGGTGAGTTAATTAATAATCTACACTTTTCTGAGTGAAATGCGCATGTTTTTTTTTTTCTCGTTGAGTCCCTCAAAGGATGTTCGCACAACTTTGGGAAATTAATCCAATAAAGAATCCCATAACTCAGGAGGCCCTTGGATCAATTTCTTACTGCAAGGAATATCACATTTACATTCCTGCATCAACAAAAAGGATCTAAAAAATGACTCCATACAAGTTACTGATCTTACTGTATTAAATGATGGTAAATGTGTGTTTTGGAGAAGATCGAATCATCACATCCAAATTCCAAGTCTACCAAAAACCATCCTTTTCCGACCGCTTTCACCACACCACTTCGCCCGCTTCGGATGCACGTCTCGTCCGGGTGTGGCGGTCGCCTTCGCCCGGCTTCGTCGAAGACTTCGTGCCGCGGCCGGCGGAGCCGAAGGCTCTTGCGGGCCTGGCGGACCGGTCGGGGATCACGTGGACCTGAAGGGGGCGAGGAGCTACCCCTCCGACATAGAAAAACCACCTGTTTTTTGGACGTTCAAGTACAGTAGTTGCTTTTCTATGTAGTTCTGGTCTATTCTATATACGACATAGAAAAACTAGACGACAAGTGGCCCGAAAGCATTTTTCATCACGTAGGAAGTCAGAGTGCGAGTTATCTGTTAAGTGTGCAGTGTGAAGTGTTAAGTCGAGTGAGTTGAGGTAGTGTGTGGGTTTCTGTGTGTGTATCTATGTCCGTGTGTATATGAATCTGCGTATGTGTGTGTGTGTGTTCGTGTAAGTTGAAGCAGTGCGCGGGTGTCTGTGTGTGATGCGGCCTCCCAAACCCCCCACCGGTGGCCAAGCGGTGACAGCCCAGCTCATCGTCATGAGCATTTGAGCTGCTGGTAAGGGGAGAAGCAGCGTGCACAGCTGCAGGAAATCTCACTGAAAAAAACGAGTCGGAATGAAGACAGAAAAGTGCTGAGGCAGCCACGCAAGAAGTGTCTCGAAGCAGTGACCTGTCAGAGGAGATGCGTCCAGCGATATACGATCAGAGGTAACGTTTCCTTCACTCCAGGACACTAGCTTTTCTAGGATGTAGTTAACCAACCACTATGCTTGTCATTGACTAAATGACTGTGTCAAAGAAAAACGTGACAAAGTAGCATGAGGTGACACACAGCAGGCACTGTAGATGTTTAGCGTACTCTCGCTGTTCAGCTCGCGACCAGTATTAGAGTGAACGAAGTAGCGCGCAGGCCTCCCAAACCCCCCCACCGGCGGCCAAGCGGTGACAGCCCAGCTCATCGCCGTGAGCATTTGAGCTGCTGGTAAGGGGAGAAGCAGCGTGCACGGCTGCAGGGAATCTGCCACCAACAACGAGCGTCACGGATCATAACAAACAAAACAGCAAAAACACAAACAACAAAACACAGGAATCCCTTTTCGTGATCATTCATGATCTGAGAGCATCCCCTGCAAACACTGGAAGTGCGACGAGCTCTGTGTAGTGAGGAAGGACAACAGCACGGAGGGCTGCTCCAGCAAGCGCAACATTGCTGGCTTCTGCCGCTCATTTGCTGACCTGATCTGTTTCACTAGAAGACACAAGCCTGCCTCCACCTTGGCAGGCTCGCCCCTGGGGCACAGTCTAAGGAGCTTGCCTTTTGCACTCTCTCGTGTATCGTCGGGGTATCGTTTTGGGGTCTCGGTTTACGATGCTGACTTTCTGCACTTTTTAAGATGCAAGCGCACAACCCCTGTCCAAACCAAGACAAACGCACAAAGGCGTGCACCTTGTTCCAGAGCCTAGCCTTGCCTCATAGGCTGGGGCCAGCCCATGAGCCAAGAGCCACAGCCCGCCAAACACAAGCAAGGATGCCTCCCTAGAAAAAAGAAAAGTCATCTCACCTTGGAGAATCTACATGCACAGGCCCCGCACACGGTGAACATTCAGAGATGTTCTTTTGAGTTGACTTGTAGCCCTTCCTTTCAGAAACGTGAAGTGGAAACGGTTGGAAGGTCTAGTCAGCCAATGGGTGAGGAATCCTGGAAACAAATGATGGCCAATGACTGCAGTTTGTACTTGGATTCAGCTACGCTGTGACCTTGAGTGCATCTGCAAGACTTGGTGAGTGATAGCAAATGCAATTGGAAAACACTTTTAAAGTAGCAGTAGATACTTTTCAAATGCAATTGGAATGACTTGGTGATAGCCAAGTAGACACGTTTTAAATGAAATTGGAAAATGCAATTTCTGACGTATCGTCCCAAGCCAATTGCAATTTTAAGAGTGGGGGTATGGCATAATATTATATGGGATACATGGAGCGTCTGGGTCATGGAGCAAAAAGAGACAAAACATGACAAAACATCGTTCAGACCGATGCGGCTCTTCTCCAGACCGTGGTTTCCCGGTTCACGGCGAGCCGCACCGTCCAGGACGGTGGACGGTGAATGTTCCGGCTCATTGAGAAAAAGGGCGCCTTCTCGTTCTTCATCTCCAAGCGCACCATGCGATCCAAGAACTCACCAATGGCATGGGCCACCAAGACCCAAGACACCAGGATCAAAAGCACCAGCCAAATTCCTGGTCTTGGGTCGTTCTGCCTCCCTCTATGATCACTAGATCTGTAAAGCGCCTCGGCTCGGTGGACCACAAACCTCCATAAAACTTGAGGCCAGGGGGGGTGAACGAAAGCTAGCCCGGCTAGCCACTG